ACAGTTTTTTTAAATCCAACTTTTTATTTCTAGAAACAATATAATAATGTTCTACACAACTCATGATTTATATTCAATAAACATTTTAGAGAGCTACTGCCAAAGATAGGAAGTAGTCCCACACTAGCATTCTTTTTCTGTAGTATTTTGATGTGCACCTATTAAAATATAAAACCATACTGGGCTGGGGATTTAGCTCAGTGGTTCCAGCGCCTGCCTCGCAAGGGCAAGGGCCAGAGTTCACTACTTGGTACCAAAAAAAATAAATAAATAAATAAAACCATATTGATTTTTGTTTTTTGGGGGGTACCGGGGATTGAATTCGGGTCTTTGTGCTTGCAAGGCAGGCCACCAAACCGCTGAGCTAAATCCCCAGTCCAATAAAACCATATTGAAAAGCCATACATTTATATGTTATATATTGACAGAGTAAAACTAGAAAAGTTACGGTAAATTGAGGAGGTAATTTTTTACTCAGAACCCAAAAGAGCAAAATGGAAGAGTTCTGCTCTCTGGAGGCTACCTCCTGACCTTTACGGTGGAAATGCAGAAGGATTTGTCTACTAAGTTGTTGGATGACATGGCACTTCTAATGCAGTATTTTTCATTTCATAAAATTGGGCAATTTGATAACTCAAAAACATAAGAAAGTCAGGGGCCGGGGATTTAGTTCAGGGGTGGTGCCGCCGCCTGCTTAGCAAGTGCAAGGACCCAAGTACAAAAAAAAAAATAAGAAGAAGAAAGTCAAAATTTCAATCTCAAATTATTAAAAAAAGCAATTAAACAGTGTCTGTAGGTATTTATGGAATTCTGCCAAAGTGGTACTCAGAAGACAATGTATTGTCTTAAACTACATTTTCTACTACATTTTCAGTAGCAGTCTAGAAAGAATAAGAATTAAGCTATAAGTCAAGAATATTCAAGAAACAAAAAAAAAATCAAAGAAGTTTGGGAACAATCATACATACAAACATCTACTTGAAAATATGCCCTATATAATTGGAAGAAGAAATACATATCATTTGAATAAGTCTAACAAAATAGTAAAATATTTGATGGGGAACATTTTAAAATCTTAAAATGTAAAGATTATCCAAATAAATGGAAAAATAAGCCATGTTATCCATAAGAAGGCATAGAGGACAGTTCTCTTTGGGTTGAAAGGAATTCCAACAGGATTGCCTTGCAGGTTCCCTTTTCAGGGAACAGTGCTGGGATCATATGGTGTCTGTGCAGGGCAAGTTCACATTATCACAGACAGAAGCTGCAGGCACAGCCAAGGTAATTGCTCCTGCCACGCCCTTTGTGTCCTCCACACCCAGTCGTGATCCCCGAGTACACTGTGGCTCAGCAAGATGCTCCGGGCCCAGCCCTCCTGGAACCAGCCCTGGGTCTCTACAGTGGAGAATGGGCTTCCTCAGGACCTCACTTCCTCCTCCTTTTTTTGAGATGGTGACAGTGCTCTCTATCTATATACCTACATATAGATAGATTCTTATTTGTATTTGTTATCTGAAGTTTGTGCTGTTACTATTTTTTGCCTTTTAAGTCTCTGATCTGAGTCCATTCTCAATCTTCCGGGCCTCTATTCACATACAGTGGGTTCTCTTTTCCTCTGAGTAGTTTGGTTCATTTTGGGGTCCTTCTGCTCCTCCCCCTCTACCACTCTGTAAAGGTCTCCCCTTAATCTCTGCAGAGGCTCTGGTCAGAAACAGATCTTCTGTCTGTGTTACTTCCTTTTCTATTGACAGGAAATGTGGAGTTGTGCTGTCCCCCATTTTCTGCATTTGTGGCTGTCAGGTTTCATGTGTAGAGATTTGGGTTTAGGCTGCTGTCATTTTCCTCAGGCTGCTCAGAAATCTGCATTGGCTCTGTGTGTAATCAAGGGCAGCCAGAAAGTAACAGAAGCCTCACTGTCAGCTCCAGTGCATATTTCTCTTTTGAAAGGGAAAATTGTTATCAAAATTTTCTTTCTTGAAGAGGGACTCATGTAATTTTATTTCTAAAAGAGTGATAGAAGCATTTTAACATAGTGTTTTGAACTATGGCTTTTCAGCTAAGAAATATGTGGAAATAAACATATAACCTCTATTATTAGCTGAGATTAGAAAAAAATAACTAATTTCTTTTAGGTTTAGGATATGTAGCACTCTTGTATTATTACGTATTTTATAGCGGTATCATTAATTTCAGGTCTTTACCATAAAATAAAATTTCTTAAAGGAGCATTTTTTAAAAGAACTTACCTATATATACACCACTGACATATGTCACATAATTAAAATCTTTCTATGTCACTAGTAGGTATGATTTAATATTTTAACTGGATAATTTATAAATTTTAATGCTGGACTTCTATTTTGTCTTCTAGCTAATTCAAGGTGGTGCTTGGTGGCTTGGAACAATCAGTTTGAAATTTCTGACATCTAAAATCTTAGGTGTTTCAGACCATGTAAGTACTTTCTAGTCAAAACATTAAAGTTCCTAAAAAACATGTAGCTGGATGAAAACTGTGGAACAGTCTATTCTTACCACTGCATTTTACAGAATTTCCCATTTCTTCAAGGCTCCTGAGCTACTACTTATTGACAGAGTCAATTATAAAATCTTCCATTTCAGGGCCGGAGATTTAGCTCAGTGGTTCTGCCACCTGCTTTGCAAGTGTAAGGACCTGAGTTCGATCCCTGGTACCAAAAAAAAAAAAAAAAAATCTTGCATTTCAGTGGTCTCTGCAACCACTAGGAAAAAAATGTATCAGTGAATGCCAACTTAGTCTCCTAAGAAAAACACTAATACTTGGGTTACCAGCTATTTGTAATATTTCAGGTAAAATATAAATAGTCATTTGTTTAATAAATTTTCATTTATTGTATATTGTATCAGTCAGTGCTTACTAGAGAAACAGATTTAATACATGATACACAAATGTGTAAGGATTTATCAGACTGGCTTACAGTGGCCACTCTCTGTGTCAGTTGTGGTAGAGTACAAAAGCGCTGTCTATGCCCTGGAGATCCAAAGGCCTGGAGTTCACTGTAGTGTCCCGTTGGGAGTCCTCATCACGTGGATTGATGAGGCTGAATGAAGGGTCTGTGATGAAAGGCTAAAGAGTGTGCAGTGGAAGCCAGGAGACAATGTCCAAGGTGAAGGTGAAGACTGGAACTCTTTGGAAGATGTGGCGGTCCAGCTGTCACATCATGAACATGCCTGAGTTGGGGAGTGAGGCTTAAGAAAGGAAAGAACACTCAAGCCTGAGTAGAGACCAAGAGAAGTCTGATTTATTTCACAGAAACAGCTACTTTTAAAGGCACATCAACAGGAAGCGCCTAACTCCTACAGAAAATGTCAGATCTTTAACAGGAAGCACCTGACTCCTACAGATAACATCAGCTCTTTGGCTATCTCTTTGAGTTTCTCCCATGCAGGGTCAAAAACAAGTTTAACACGTGCAGCCCTTAAAAAGGAACAAATGTTAACAAATGCTAATTAGGAATATCCTGACCACACATTGTGTCAATGCCTTGATTATAAAGAAAGAAGTTATCTTTCAAATGTCAAATGCCAGTGGGTTATGACTGGCTCCCACATTTCCCCCTTTTTATTATATTTAGAGCAGGGGCTTTCCCTGTTCAGCAGAAAGACTGTGCCTGTCTTAGGTGAGAAATGTCCAGAGAAATCCCTTACCCATCATCAAGCCATGAGAAGTTTAATACTCATGTTCTGTCTTAGGTTGGATATTTCTCCACAATTCTCTTACCCGTCTTTGACTACCAGCCTCTGCAGGGGTTATACCATGGGTTGTGAAGGCCTGACATATAGCTTTCTCTACCTCTATCAATATTTGTAAACCTTGATCTTCATACCAGGACTCATTTTTACAGGCATCATTACAAAAGGAGGTTGTCTCAAAACCATCACAGAATGAAAGGAAGTCACCATTTCTGAGAATATACAGTTGGTCAATTTACAATTAATGATATTATCAGTTTCATAAACAATCTCTATATTTCCTACTAATGACATATAAGGAGCATTAACACATTATTCTCTTGTTCTTTGACTTGAGATAACACAGTATTTATGGTATTCCACATATTAGAGGGTCCCTATGTTATACAAAAGGATTGTCTCAAAACCATCACAGAATGAAAGGAAGTCACCATTTCTGAGAATATACAGTTGGTCAATTTACAATTAATGATATTATCAGTTTCATAAACAATCTCTATATTTCCTACTAATGACATATAAGGAGAATAT